AAAGGGGAGAAAACTGAAACTGCAAAATGTTATCACAAAGGGACGCTGATGCTGATCTTCGGTACACAGAGCCCTTACATTACTTCCTCCTTCTGCCCAGGACTACATGTCCCATGGGGCATTGCTCCTCGCAGATTCACATTCCAAATTCACAAGGCACTTACTGACCTGTACGGACAGTGTACTGAGCTGTATGTGTGCTTCACTGTGTGTACTGACATGTATGAATGTGTACTGAGCTTTGTATGCTGCACTGTGTATACTGACCTATAAACAAATAATGCTTTCTGTATGCAGGCCAGATAATAATGAAAATCGTTGACAACTATCTTTATCGATTTAGTTCATCCTGGTATTTAAATTTTTCAGTGGATGATTCCTTGTAAAGTAAAAGTAAATCCAGTGGCTATAGAGCCACTTGATCACGTTTACAGGCAGTGTAAGGGGGTCGCTGCCCCCATCTGCTGCCTTTACCGAGCTCCACAGTGATCAGGGAGCTTAGTAAAGATGCCACTGGTGGCATTGGCTTCCCTGAACACAATGAGAGAACCTGCTCTTGTTTTGCCAGGGATGTTGAATTTGTATCGCCCGATGCCTGGGACATGTAGTTCTGGGCATTGGGCAGGTATTTTTTTTTTTCATTTTGTCTTTTCAACATGTAGCCCGATTTGCTTCCACACAGTCCACCACGGTGCAAGCCTCCGTCACCCCTGCCTGTGAACCCCCCTCCTCCGATCGCCAAGTCTCCCGAGCTCCACTTGCCCATCTGCGGGCGCAGGACTGGCTTATTGTGTGCCGTCTTGTCCTGACCCGGAAGTTATGTTTGACGTCACTTCCAGGTCCCCATTCACAGATTCCCAGCCATTGTGACTGGGAAAGAATGGAATGCACTGTGATCTACACTGCATTACATTCAGGGCAGCACAGGGGAGACATTAATAATTAAAATAGTGTGGCGCTCTAAATAATAAATATATAAATAAATTAAAAAAATGCATATGTGACCAAATAAATATAAATATATATAAATGTGACAAATTCATATAATGAAATCCATGAAACAATCCCAAATAAATAATATAAAATAAATAACAATGTGTAATAAATCCTATATCAAATAGACCTCAAGTGATCACTTAAATAATTAATCTAGTGTCTAGGTTCAATGATCAAAGTCATGCTTGTACATAAAAATAAAATGACCAAGTAATATTGCACCATATACAAAGTGAAAAAAGTGCTAAAGTGCCAAAATAAGTGCAAATAACATATCATCCAACTTATTAAATAATCAATGAAAAAACACAGTCCATCAGGTGACAAAAATAACCATGCTATGTGTGGTGATGAAAATTCGTGGTTGGTGCCAAACTCTTCTTCTACAGGTGGCTAAATTGCCTCCTCACCTCCTCCCGGTGACCCCTAGGGGCCAGCAGGCTTGCAGGATCACCCTGGATCCCTAATTCCAAATAGATCAGCAGCTTTCCTCCTTCATTAGATTCCTTTATGAGACTCCTGTTTCACTAATTCAGCCAAGGTGTCTCTGAAGAACAATGGCTCACCAGTCCAGTGAGCCAAAAAAGAGAATGCCCTCTAAGTGCAGTATTAATGACTCCTTTTATTGAAAGTATAGAGTAGTAACACTCACATTGTATCGCAGTCCACCCTCCTCACCGATGTGTGGGTATATTACATGCGAATGGGACTTCCTAGGTGAAGCAAGATGGCGTCGCACGCCGGAAGTGCGTCACCGCGCACCGGAAACTTCGGACTCGCGAACCTACGCGTTACGTCACTGTCTGCTCGTGACTTCCTCGGGGTCCCGGGGTATATGGTGCAATATTACTTGGTCATTTTATTTTTATGTACAAGCATGACTTTGATCATTGAACCTAGACACTAGATTAATTATTTAAGTGATCACTTGAGGTCTATTTGATATAGGATTTATTACACATTGTTATTTATTTTATATTATTTATTTGGGATTGTTTCATGAATTTCATTATATGAATTTGTCACATTTATATATATTTATATTTATTTGGTCACATATGCATTTTTTTCACTATTTTAATTTATTTTTATATATATATATATATATTTATTTTATTTAGAGCGCCACACTATTTTAATTATTAAGTTCACACTGTATGAGGTATCAGCAGAGGAGTGCTGGCAGCTTATAGTTGGTCATTTTACCATTTGTAGCGCAGGAGGATTTTTGATGAGATACATATGTTGCTTATCGCCGCGCATGCCAGAATGGGAGTAATAATTCTAGCATGAGACCTCCTCCGTAACACTATACTGGTGACCTATAAGGAGCTTTAAAAGGGTCGCCTATAGAAAATATAGGGTACTGAAGTTTGTCACCATTTCATGAGCGCACGCAAATTTAAGGTTTGACATGTTGGATATCTATTTACTCAGTGGAATCTCATCTGTTTTATATTTTACAAAAAAAATTAATAAATTTTAGGGCAAAAACAAAAATTACCCTAAGTATTTCTTACTGAAATTTTGCTTTTCCTAGACCTTTCCAATAATATCATTCGACATAAAAAAATAAAAAAATTGGGATTACCACTATTTTATTCTCTACGATCATTTGCCTTCAGAAAATATATAATGTTTGGAGGTTTTGTGTAATCTGCAAGCCTAAAATGATTTTTTTTAAACGTGTGCAAAAAATGCAAAAATGGCTCTGGCATCAAAAAGGATAAAGCATAAGCCTCACACTCACCTTCCCTAACCAGCACCCAATCACTGCCCATTACACTGCACGGCTTCTCCCCTCCCTGCTAGTCCCCGGTTGCGGTTCTGGAGACAATGAGGGGAGGAGATGACCTATAGCGCAATGTTAAAAATTAAATCTTTAAGTCACCATAAAGCCAATTTTGATTTTTAACAGTCCTAGACATTCCTAACAGCACCTCAGATTTAAATATGGTCTTGGTTAAAATTCTGTTTTTTTGTTTTTTTTTTTTTTGTGTATTTTTTTTTTTTTTTTTTTCTTTCTTTTAGGAAAAGTAGATTGTCATGAGGGACAAGTAGATTGGGACATCAATTTAGTTTTTTCCAAAATTTCCACAACCCTGTTTCCGCCACTATGTGATATCAGAAACCCGAAGCGACAAGGTTATTGTCACATCCAGTTTTGGTTTCTTGTGTAGGTCTGTTTGATCTGCTGCTTTGAAAGCCAGAAAAGAGCTCTTGGTCTCATAGACCCCAGATCTCTCCAGAAAGAGGACCTGTCATAGCTCATGCTATCACAAGGGGTGTTCATCCCTTGTATTAGCAATAAGTCCAATATTAAAATGTACAGTGGAAAATAAAAAAATTAAGAAAAAAAATGTAACGTGCCCCTGTTCTCACTCGCAAATACGAACAAACCACACATTTGAGGTATCACCACAAACGTGAGCGAGAGCAATAATTCTAGCTCCAGACCTGTGTAACTGTAAACTGGCAACCTGTAAAAGCTTTAAAAAGATAACCTTTTAAAGGCAACTTTGGACGCATAGTCGCATGATAAGTCGCAACCCATTTATTTAAGTGGCACAAATTTGGAGTCGCACTAGTATGAACCAAGCCAAAAACGTTGCCTATAGAGATTTGTAGGTACCGTAGTTTGGCACTATTCCATGGGCGTACACAATCTTAAAGCAGGAAATTGGGTATTCTATTGTGTTTGTGTGACCATTATATAAATATTTCATTCTATCTGTTGACCTAAATGATTTTGCAGAGGTATCTGACTCATCCCCTATAACGGGTGCCTCTGATACAGGCAGACAGCTACACAATGACAGGAATCTCAAACTACCTAGAGAGCTGAACAGTGCCCTGGTAGTTTATTGAGAACTACAAGCCAACAGCCACAAAGGCTGTTGGTACTTGTAGTGTTCACATCCCTAGAACTCTGTGTATTAATGTGTCCGGTTTTAAAGGGATGATATGGCAACTTACTGCTTCCCCTTTTAAAATCCACCTGTCACGATTATTATTTTTTTTTTTTTTTGTCGGCCACAAGCCTGCTGCTGTGCTGTGGATAATGTGAATTCACATCAAAGGTAGGACTGTCCTGGTGTGGAGGAGGAGGTGTCGGGAGCACCTTCAGCTTGTTCTGGTGGATACAGCTCTTACTGCTACACCAGTGATGACTGTGAATGAGGAGGCGGGGGGACTCCCTGGGCTCCAGCGATGGAGGGCAGGACTATTCTGGTGTGGAGGATGAGGGTGGGGGAGATGCCCCCTCCCGCTGTTTGTAAAAGCGATCCAGCGGCTAGATAACCACTGGGATTGCTTTTACGGGAGAGCAGACCATTGGTTCAGTAAGCCTTGCAGCAGGGATAAATGTAAAGAAAAAAAAAAAAAAACCTCCTGCCTGGCACCCGGAACTACATGTCAGGACAATCCTGTTCTGATAGCATTTTCCTCAATCCCCCACTTCACATCAGTTTTTCCTTCAGAGTAATGTGGTCAGACTCCCCTCACATCACCCCTCACCCCCTTCACAGCAGTGTACTGAATCCCCTTTATATAACATGCCCCCTCTATTCACAGCGTACGTACAGACACACACACCCCCCTTAGCACTGTCTTCCTCACAGCCTTACACCCTCCTCTTGACATCTCTGTACTCTTGACAACCAGAAGCCCCCCCCTCAGTAACTTCCTCTAACCCCTTCAGAGCGGGGGGCAGGATAGCAATAAACTGAATGCAGGAGGCACAGCTCGGCATTGAATGTATTGGATCATCTTTGAGAATGACAACGGCGGAGGCTGAGGGATAGAAGCAGCTTCTAAATGGCTCCACCGTGGGTCCTGATGGGACAGTGAGTGGCTCAGTCTTGGATCTGGTCTGCAGTCCACTTTAGTGATGCCTTCCCTATAACCATGTATCCATCCTTCTTTCTAGGTGAACGAGAATGGCCACAAGGATAGCGTTGCAGGAGATTCCCGTCCTGCCCCCAGAGACTGAAGAACAAACCTTTGTGGTCGTAGCCGAGGAGGCAATACCAGACTTTTGCAATGAAATTTTGCCCTTTTCTGGCCGTGCTCATGCCAAATACATCAGCAGTGATGAATCCAAAGAAAACATCACCCCTGCCGAGTTTGACGGCCTTAAGAAGTACAACTATGGGAAGAGTGATGTTGGCAAGGCAGCAGACTTAATGGAGTCTAACAATCCAGGTGATCGGGATGACGTTGCGCTTATCACTCCTCAGAAGGACACCGATTGTTCTGATTGGCGTATTGGGGAGTCAAACACACCAGTGGATTTCTCTAATGTCACCGTGGATGCTTTTGGCATTTCAAGTGAAAGCTTCGCTAACTGTGTAGGTAGGTGGCAAGTAGTGATGTGAGTATGCTGTAAGGATTATTTAACCTGCCATCAGGTTTTAGTTCTGTTCAAAGTAGTCCTTCCACAACTGTACAGTAATTCCTGTTCACTGACTGAGGGCCGATTCACATTGGGAATCACACAGGAATGAGCAGTGTGTTCCTGTATATGTACATGCAGTTCAGTGCCTTGAAAATTGAGCCCATTAGTTTTGAATGGGCTCAAATCGCACTGCACCACAGAAGTGCATGCGCTACTTTTGAAAACGGACTGCAACTGGATCGCATGGTACTACTTTACCATGCTGCGCTAAATAATTCCACAAATGAAAAATAACCCCAAATTGACAATAGAAATATATAACCCACTATAATATATATATTAACCATACATTGATCATGTACTGATGGTTAAATACATTGGAAACTACAGTCTCATAAGTTCATTCCCCCTCATAGATTTGGCATGTATATAGGAAAAGAACTGAAGGGAACACTCCAATAGTGTAAATCAGCAAAACCATTTATTAAGAAAAATGAAAAATATTCACATTAAGATGGAAGACCATAGCACTATGAATATAACTCATCCCAATCAGCAATCTCTGGTGTGCGGTGATGTCAGCGTGTTTTGGCTCCTCCCAGTAGTAAATGCACATATTTTTGCAAGTGAAAAAAAGCACATATTTTTGCAAGTAAAAAAAAGCAAAGTGCATTTTATTATTTCTCGGCTTTCCGAGCATTGCTCCCATGATTAGTGGATGCGGGGGGTGCAGTGTTAGGCTGCAGCAGACACTTCTTATAGCTCTCTGCCTATGCCTCTGTAATACCCCTTCATTAGGCCACTTTTCAGCTTTCAATTCTAAAATATTTGGCCTGACAATTACTTGGTCATGTAACACTGCCTATTGCTATCACAAGGAATGTTTACATTCCATGTGATAACAATAAAAACTGTCATGGGCCTGGGCTGTGATCACGTTAGATTTGGCGTTTCCAAATTTGTCTGCATGCGCAGCTCACTATAAAACGCAGGACAAGCAGGTAAGTAACTTTAATGCAGAAGAGACAAAGCAGGTGTCTTCTGTATTAAAATTCCTGCTTGTTCTCCCTTTTTTAAATTTTATTTCCTAAAGTTCCACTTTACGTAAAGTAATAAACATGATATACTCACCCGCAATAATCAGTGGTATTGCACAAAGCATTCCCAGTCCTCCTCTTCTGGGTTCACCCATTGTTGCCTCTTCTGGGCCTGCCCCCATAGCAAGCACTTGCTATGGGGGCAGACGTGTGGGTTCCCAAGCCTGGCTGTGCGCGTCCATAGAAACACCGCGTGGGTCGGCTCTGCTCACAGGGTTGGTATGACAGCATGAAGCTTAAAAATATCAACAACGGGAACCACTGCTAGTGTAAGAAATTGCCCGGCTGACTCTCCTTTATAAATGCTAGGTGGTGTCCTCAGGGCCTGGAAAACTGGTAGTGCAAAAAGATCGTGTAGGAAGAATCCTACACAACTGGGTCCCAAAGATTGGCAGCCAAGCTTGTGGAAACAGGGAGCGAGAAGAAAAGACCGACCGACGCTCACAATGCTGGATCGATACAGGACTTGGGTAGCTATGGGGGAGGGGCATCTGGCAAGCTCTACCTGAAGCTCTTCAAGCTCTTTCAGCTGCCATCTTGACACCTCCCACCATGAAAGCCAGAACAGTTTTTTTTATGCCGCACATGTATGTTACTTTTTTGTATCCTTTAGGTCTGCATTAAAACATACATCAACTTTGTTTTCTGATCCCTTTTATTATTTATTTATTTTTTCTATCTGCCAATTCTTTCATGTTTAGGAAAATCTCCCAGATCTCTGCACAAACACAGACGCAGATCTACAATCGGTGTACGCGGATCTCCCGAAATGAACTTTCTGATTCGCCAAATTGCACTGCAGAGAAGCAAGAAGACCAGCCCTGAGCCCCTGGTAAACAGAACCATTTATTCTCTGTAATTTGCAACAGCTACAGAAATGGTAGTATAGTTTAGAGACACCAAGGGGTATATTTATAAAGCGGTGAATCTGTCATTCAACAAACATTCACTGCAGGTGAATTTTTTTTTAAAAGATTTGCTCACCTCTAGAGAAGAGCTAGCACTTAGGGTGGCCTGGTCAGGCCTGCATGAGGACAACTGCCTGTGGACAGCTATAGTCCACTGAGACATTGTAAATAGTAGGAAGGGGGTCCAGAAACATGAAGGTGTTCAATACAAATACACACAAAGCTATGTACACTTGGGAAAAGACTTTCTCCATTCTGATGCCATTAATGACCTATACATATTGTTGCGGGACCTGCAAGATGGGCCCTTCTTTATTTAATATATCACATTTGTAACACTAGCAATTATTTTTCTTCAAATTTTACAGTCAAACCCTTTATTTCTCCACGGAATTCAATACTAAAGGAAAAAATGTTGTCCTTTCGAAATGCTTTCCAAGCAGTTGAGGAAAGTGAAGGAAAACTTCCATTTCCGGGATTCTGTGAGGAGGAAGAAGAAACACAGTGCGACACCCTGGGAAGCAAAGCTTATGGTAAAAGGAAACTGTGCGATCCTAGATCTTTTAACACCCCAGAAGAACAAATGTATCATCATTTCAGAATTATTTTACCATCGACACACTTATGAAAACTGGTTACTATGAAATATTATTGACAAGCAGATCAATAAATGTTGGAAATTGTTAACAGCCATAGAATTTGTAATTCTGTTCAGCCAGTATTGTAACCTAAGAAGAACACTCTTATGAAGGCCTTACATGACTTGAATTTTGGCTGTCTCCTGCTGAATCGGCCAAGCATCAAGCCATGGATGGCCCTGTCAGCACCACATAGTTCAACAAACCTGTGATTAATAAATTGACAAAAGCAGGTGGGAAATTGTCGGCTGAACCCTGACTGCAACCAATTGAAGGGTTGTGAAGATATGGGAGGGTTGACACCACGTGATTAGGATTTCAGATCTCAAACAGCAGTGTAGCTACGTTTCTGGCAAATAAACCGCTTTCTCTTTTACGTGCTGCGTGTTTAAAGGGAAAAGTATGGGGAACCATGGATGTATTGCAGTGATGTACTAAATATTGTTTTTCTTTTAATTTAGACATGACATACACTTTTAATAAAACAGTTAATGGAGGAGGCATATGTCTATTGTTTTCTCCCTTTTCTCATCACCTATCAGTAACTTTGCAAGTCTGAGTGTAAAAGTTTTTTCTGTCCTCTTGGTTTCCCAGGTAACACATGTGAAACAGCTGAACCACCAGTGAAGAGGAAGAGAGTGTGTGATCCTTTACTTCCTGAGATAGAAGGTGTACCTGTGAAGCCCCACGCACCACTGACACCCACACAACCACAGAGGACCGCTCAGGTAAGCTGTGTGTCAACCAAAGTGCCATAGAGTTATAATGGCAAAGAAAGCAAGATACCCTTAGAAGGCACTTGAAATAGTTTTATTCCTAGTAGGTAGTCTAATTTCACATCACACGTTAAATCTCCCTCTTTATCTAAATGTAGATAAAGATCCAATATATAACTATAGTCAGAACTTTTTTTAAAGTGGTTGTAAGCTCTTACATATACTCAGTGAAGTGATTAGCCTCAGGTGATGCATAAGAAATGAAACCAATCCTCCTACATAAGTTGTATCTGTTTAACTACAGTCTTCTCTTCTATACATCTGTCCAAAGTGCTGAATTTATAAAGCTTGAGAGTTGAGAAAAAAGGGGATGGAGAGCTGAAATTACACACTACAGAGCTCAGTGAGGAGAGCTCGGAGAGCTGATTGGAGGAAAGGGACACACCCCCCCTTTCACACAGGAACAGAGCTGATGCTGTCAATCTGCTGGAGATCCCTCCCTGTCACCATTTTTCTCTTGGTGTAAGGAAAACTAGACCGAAGCTATTCATGTTGATAGCACAGAAACATGATACTTAGTGCTCTTAATTGAGTCACTTACACGTTATAAAGGGATATGCTTTGTTTATTTTTCATTTCTGAGGTTTACATCCACTTTGTTTAGTTTAGGATAGAGTGGGGGAAGGATTAGAACTCCCTTCAGGTTTTTTTTTTTCCTAATAGAGGTTTCTTCACTTCCTCTTCCTTCTCAAACAGCAACAGGCAGGAGTAACAATGTTTCCTCCCCCCTTCCCCCAGTGTTAAAGTGTTAATAAACCCACAACCGTAAAATCAGTCTGTATATGAAGTAAAGCATGCTCGTTATACTCCCTGTAAAACTTAAGGAGTTAATCCTCCACACTGTGTAAAAAGGCTGTTCGATCCTGTCTTCTCTGGTCCTCCCCTTCTTCTACAGTCCCCAATCCATCTGCTGATAGAATAGACTTGGGGCACATGCTCAGTTTGGTGTGTATTACGAGAGGTTTTTTTTTTTTTTTTTTTTTTCTTTTTGGGAGAGTGTATGTGATCAGCACAGGGCCAATCAGCGCTGTCCAGACAGAGGGTCAGGGGTCCTGCAGCCTCACAGGACAAGCAGGGGAGAATGAAAACTCCTCCTATAAGCTTTAACCAGTGCTCTGCTGTACCCTGATAGAAGTCACAAGACTGCTCTAACTGCTAATGAGAAAAGGTTTTTAGCAGTTTATATTTACTAAAATTAGTGGTGCACCGAAATGAAAATTCTGGTGCTGGAACTGAAAATTCAAAATGCACTTGGCCAAAAACCGAAATGTGCAGTTTTTAAAAATGAATATATATTTTTTGGAAAAAAAATACACTTTGATTAAAAAAACAAAAAGAAAACCCCACAATATATACTCCAATTTTTTTGTAAATATGAAAGAGGATGTTACGACAAGTAAATAGATAACCAACATGTCATGCTTTAAAATTGCGCATGCTCATGGAATGGCATGAAACTGCTGTACTTAAAAATCTCCATGGGTGATGCTTTAAAAATTTTTACAGGTTAGTAGTGTAAAGTTAGAGGACATCTAGTGTGAGAATTATTGCTCTTGCTCCGACGTTCGTGGCGATACCTCACATGTGTGGTTTGAACACCATTTACATATGTGGGAATGGCCTACGTATGCATTCACCACTACGTGCGAGGACGGGGCACTTTAAAAAAAAATTTTTTTATGTTTTTTGCACTGTCCCTTTTTAAAAAAAAAAAAAAAAAAAAAAAAAAAAAAAAGTTCCTTTTATTCTTATCACAAGGAATGCATGCATCCCTTGTGATAGAAATAATTTGGGACAGGTCCTCTTTATGGAGAGATGTGGGGTAAGACCCCACATCTCTCCTTTGCAATATAAAGCATTAGATCAAAAGGAGCATTGATCTAGTGCTTTAAAAAAATGGCCAGAACCGGTCCTCCGTAGGCATAGAGGTGAGTGGAGGCCATCTTTCCTTCATTAATATCTATGCCCAGCGCTGGGATCGTCGCTGGTTTCTCAGGTAAGGCTGAGAACTACCGAGCGGTGGCGAGGGGCGGCGTTTTTGCAGCACCTGTATCGATTTTTTGTTTTTCATATCGGCCTACAGCTGAAAGGGGTGTTTTTGGCTGAAACGTTTCAGCCACCGAATTTCGGTGCATCCCTAACTAAAATAGTTGCATTTCCATGTTGTGTTTACTGTGGGAGACCAGATATAGTGAATGCAGGGTCCTGGGTTTAGTAACACTAGATTTTTTTAGTTAAGTAGGGAATATCCTAGAACCCTTGTCAGCTATTTGTTACTTTCCTTCAGATTTCCCTGTCTGGTAAAAGGCTGTCCCCAAAACAGAAAGTGACGGGTAGTCTTTCTAATAGAGCCCAGATAGTAAAAACTAACGGGTTCTAAAGTTTCCCATTTTATACTAATGATAAAAAAACAGTACTGCCAATCCAAAAAAAAATGTGGACCATCTCCAAGATAACTCCTTTTCTGGGAAACTCGAGACTTGATCCATAACCCTTGTGGTGCAAATCTTGCCTTTTGGGGGCTTTTTGTTTTTTCTGGGTTTTTCCTGGTAACTCTTGCCTAGTGAGATTGGTTGTTGAGTCAGACAGCCTCTTTTGTCTCTGAGTTTTTGTCCCCTAGAATGTCAGGGTTGCAAAGGACATGGGCCTTTCCATTTAAACTGGCTGGCCTTTTTTACTGGGACCTGTTTGATCCCAGGACCTGTTCCAGAAGTTGTCCCACGTTTTTTGACCACATGTGGGTCGTTGTCTTCTCTTTTTTTGGTTTTTTTTCCTCAGAGGAATTAGTTCTGGTTTCACCTGTTGGGTAGGTTTTCAGTTGATCAACTTTTTGCTCATTCTGGTTCCATACCCCTTTCATGTGCAGTAATTCTCTCTGGTGGTGACCTTTCTTTAGGTCTTTAGGAACAGGTTAATTCTGTGTTCTTCCTCTAGTTGTGTTGGTATGGAACACTGCCTCCTCTGGTCCAGATTCAGAGCCTGAATCTCTTTTTGGGCCTGTTAGTGATTTTCTCTGTTGTTCCTCCTCCCCCCCACCCTCCCTTAAGCTGGACTGCTTTTGGACATTTTGACAACATCTGGATTCCTGTGTCCTCAATGGATGGAGGAGGGGAAGTAATTTTGTATCTGAAAATTCATTTTGGAGTCCATTGAGGGCAGAGCTCCCACCTCTGTGAATTTTGTCTTCCTGTTCTTTGTACTGCTTGCTACAAACTGATGCATGTTGAGTGGAAAAGGGCTTCTCCTAGAGCTGGCAAGTTTCTTGTTTGCAAGTGTCCAACCCTTCTGTAGGTGGCTTTAGAACCCAACAGTATCAAAATTCCTGTACCCCTATTACACTCCTATCATTCTGTTATGTAATAGTGCATTGGATAGTTTGTATTTTCATTTTCTAACTAGCCTTTGCAAAACAAAATTACCACTGGAAACTGATGGTTATGGCTGCCTCCGTGTGTTTTTTTTTTTTTTTTTTTTCTCTTCTCTCTGGTGTTTGTATATTGTACTATAACTGCAGACATGCAGCATAATTTCTCCCTATTTTACTGAAATGTATCAGTAAGTTAGGCTTTTCAGAGTCTGTATGTTCATGGTTTCCCATTTTGTATTTTGGTAGGAAACTAAACAAGTCCCTGTGCTGGAGAAGATCTCGGAGTCTGATGGCTCTTCAGTTTCCAGATTTTTCCCTGCTGTGTCTAACTTGGGTATGAAGTTTTGCTTTCTATAAACAGTACATGTTCTAAGAGATTAAAGTGAACCTTTTTTATTTTCAAAAAATGCAGATAGTGGTAGTTTTTTTTTTTTTTTTTTTTTTTTTTTTTTTTTTTTCTTTCAAAATTTTCAGTTTTTGGTTTGTTTAGCAAAAAATTAAAAAACCCAGAGGTGATTAAATATCACCAAAAGAAAGCTCTATCTGTCGCCAAAAAAATGATAAAAATTTCATGAGTACAATGTTGCATGACCACGCAATTGTCATTCTAGGTGCGA